AAAAAAAAAAAAAAAAGATGAATCTACGAAAAAAAAAAATTGAACTCCTGAAAAGCTTTATGTAACTATTCCAGAGGTTTGCTTCTTTGATCAGATTTTTCAGACATATTCAAAGTCTTTGTTTTTTTTAGCTGACGAGAATACAATAGATGAGAACAAAAAGTTCGCAGAGTCTGAATTTGCTTGCAAGCGCTTTGCATTACTCCTTCAACAACAAATTTCCTAAAATCCAGACTCTTGATTTTGGAACCCTTCGTAGTACCTTGTAAAAAAAATTTATGTACATTTTGCTCCGGAAGACCACAGGGTTCCTGAATTTTTATGTGCCCGACAACGGCATAATCCATGATTTGCACAGCTCTTCTAACGGAATCAAAAATTCGAATTGAAACTCTTGTAATTTAATCATCGTCAAGAAGCCTGAGGTATACTTTGAGTTACAATCTCCATTCTGAAAGAATGTCTCGAATGTAAACACCAAAGTTATATGGATCAACTTGTCTATGGCAGAATATTAAATGCTCATAATGTTGTTAAAGCACGTCAATTTTTTTTGCTTTTGCTGAAAGGAAAACTAACCCAAGAATAAAAACAAACCATGTTGGAAGAAACCATATTGGCTGATGCGCGCTTTGTGGGTAGTCGAACTCTGTCCTTATTGAAAATGAATAGGCTTGTGAAGTGAAGAAAAAGAAGTTCTGGTCAAGCGCCTTATCAAGAACTTATTCGTGTTTTTGAAAATGTTCTCAAACATTGATAAAAATGCTCGAGGTGCTATCCGTCTTTTCTTATTGGAAAAAATTACTCCCCACGGATATAAAAGCGAAAGAAAAAAAAGGGATTTAAAAAAATTAAATCTCGTGTGTTCTGCAAAATTTTTAGTAGAAAATATCGATATAAGTGCAAGCTTTAGAGGGTTTTTACCAAAGAAAAAAAATTAAACATGTGTGCTCAGAATATTGGGAAAGATGAGTTTTCAAGCGAGCGGGGAACCCTATGCGCAAGTTGACTGCGAAAAATGAGTCTTGTCCCACTGGTATACCTTCATGATAATATCCTACAGCTAGTTGCAGCTATATTCAGTAGAGGCATTGATACAATGATTTTCATTAACTTTGAACTGGATTACCATTTATTCCCACTCTTTTTCCTTTACCGATTATACCAGTCGTTACAAGATATACACTGTGATGTTCCTTCATAATGCAGTAAATGCTTTGATGCAATATGTGAAGACCAAGTTAAAGCCATTGGGTGGACCAGACTTTCTAGCTTGTCCCACGCTGAATTCCCCGCAAAGAGTCCTCGACCTCCATTTTCACCTCGAGCAACGCCCTCTTTTCCGAGCGCACACCAAGAAAACAGATCATTCCATTCACCACGCCAGTGACTGCAATGAGAGTGCTGGCCAAAGCCAAGAGCACAGATACCCACGGTTGTACCGCGGAAGCAAATGCAATGCCCACGAGAATCACCACCACGGCAACGAGCGAGGCGAAAAAGTGGAGTTTGCGCCAGTTGCTCTGGAATGGGATGGTGTGGTCAATGTAGGTCTGGAGCTCGCTCAATGTCTCCCCGTACAATTTGGCAAGCTCAGTCTTAGACGCAACTGGTTCCAGGTATTGCTGGTCTTTCAAGTGCAACGTCACGCTGTATGCAAAATGGTCCGAGTAGGAGCACGAGTACGGTGCCTTTAGCAAGTCCGTGAAAAGCACCTCTGCCGCCACAGGCGTAAGCGCTCTCCGGTCGATAAGCGCATAATCCAAGCGGCACGCCTCCCAGGGCTCCCTGTGGGCCCGCCATGTGTTGAGACGGGAGTCACATGTGATTCCGCCTCGCGTGATTTGCTCGTGCGGACTCAAAAGTGCAATCTCGTCGTTCGGAAGAGTGTTCTCGCCGTGGAGCAGTTCCCAGGAGTCCGAGAGCCCGCCCTCCTGGGTGAAGAGTTTATGGGGCAAGGAGCCTGGCTTGGAGTTCAAGTCGCCCACCTGCACAACCGCATACCCGGCACGCTGCAAAACCTTCACGAGCTTCAGCAAGTCCCATGCCTGGCATGCCCGGTGAGTGGAGTAAGACGCGTCTCCATGCTGCTTGTACGGCGCATGCATATGGCTGTTTAGTACGGCAAGCTGGCGGGCGCCCGGCACGTGAGACCCCAAGATCGTCACGGCAATGCTTTTGCCCACTAGCCAGTCGCCGCGGAAAAACGCGCTGGGCCGCCCGTTTATCGGGAACCTATACAAAAACGTGCTCTCTATGGGCACTCGCAGAAGAAGCGCTAGTCCAGGCCCTGCAACGATGCCCGATTTGAAAAAGCGGCGATGCGGAAACTTGGCCAGGCACGTCTCCTCGATATACTGCCAGTCCTCCTCGACCCAGATTTCCTGGAGCGCCACGACGTCGTGGTCGGTGTGTGCTAGTTTCTCTGCTATGGCGCGGAGCCGCGGTCTACGGAGCTTCGATACATACTTAAGGCCCCAGCAGTTGAAAGTGAGAAGTTTCACCGGCTTGCTGTCCATTGTGTGGCTGCCTAAGACGGGTGTGTCGAAGATTGACTATGGGGAGAAACCCAAGATCTGGAGCCGGGTCTGTGAGCGCGGGTTTGGGTGCGAGATGCTGGAGCTGCCAGACCCTCGAAGTTATGCAGGCCAGCACCACCAAAAACCACAGACGTTTCACCTTCGTGCTTCTGTTTTGCAAGTGGACTATTAAGGCTGGCCAGGGGTACTGCATCGGGCCTCGTCCTTTTTTTAAAAGCGGAAACTAAAATGGCGTCTTTTTCGGGGACGGAAATGGCGTCTGGTGTGGCGAGCTTCTGTAGTGCCGGGGCCCTTCAATAGGGCATATATTGCTGTTCCGCGAGCTGCGCATCGATTGCTGTTCCGCGAGCTGCGCATCGATTGCTTGGTACAGCTGTTTCTGATTGGCAAGCAGCCATTAAAGCCTGTTTTCATGAAAATGGCCAGGCTGCTCCCCTATAGCTGAATTCAGAGCCCCGGCTGCTTGCATAAAAAAAAATAGACGACAGCATGGGCAGGAATCGTGGTGCACCTTCCCCCATGAAATGGGCATACCATAAAACGCCGCTTGGAATTGGGATCCGCCCTTTTGTCCGGGATTTGCACGTGTAACTACAGCTTGCCTCTTGCAGACAAAAAATGGAATGTGGCGCCCCATTGACTGTCCAAGCATACAGATGCTCATTTCTCACCGGTGTCCTAATAGCCAGCCGCAGCGCTTGGCTCAAACCAAGCCGGCCCCATATTAGGCCACTGGAGGTGCACCCCACACCCGTGCACCCCAGGAACCCAAACAAACAAACAAACACCATCTTCTCCAACCATAACCCTCCACTCCACAGAAAGGGTCCCCGATGCATGCGGCGCATATGGCTCAGCCCATGGAAGATTTCCGCAACGTGCGGGGCGAGCTCGCCGCTTTCACCGCCCGCCTCGAGCACCTCATACTAGAGAAAAAGTCGTTGCTCCAGACCGAAAAAAAACGGCATACTGAAAATGTCCGGCGGCTCGAGCAAGCGGCGCACAGACTCCGGGCGGAAATCGCCGACGCACAGGAAAAGCGGGGCGCGGTCGCAGGCCAGATCGAGGCCGGCTTGGCCAAGTTCAGGGCCACCGAGAGCATGGTCAACAGCCTAACAAAGGACCTCCAAAAGGCGCAGAATTCCAGGGCGTCCTTGCGGGCCGCCGTCGATGCAAAACGCGCCCACGTGGACAGCTTGAAAGACTCTTTGCGGTACACCCGCTCAAGCTTGGACTCACAGGCAGAGAAGGACGAGGACGAGGCGACCAAATTCGAGATGTACGTGGGGCTCAGGGTGGAGTCGGTGGACGAGGATCTCTTGCGGTTCAAGTTCACCAACATCGACGCCAATGAAATCGATCTTGATGTTCTGGTGGAACTATATGTGGGCGACGATTTATACCGCGTTTTGGCCACCGACCCGGCGTTGCCAGCCGACACCATTTCCACCATGGAGCGCGAACTCAACGAAAGCGGTATGCTCGTGGTGTTCTTGAAGCGCATAAGAAAAGCGCTCCGGGACGCCCTCGACTGATTTTTTTTTTGGAACCAGAAACTGGCGCATGCTGCTTGTTTTCTTCATCGAGCCTTCGTCATGAAATTCACAGTTCTTCTTTGTTTTTGCTTGACCACCATTTCTGCCAACATTGGCCCCATGGAGGTCAACGGGCGAAAGCTCTACCCAAACTTGCAGAGCTTTGCCTCCAAAGAGGCGTTGGTCGACTCGTACTTGTGGACGCATTTGACGCACACGAGCGACGACATCATTGCGTTGACCACGGCCGTCTTTCTTGAGGACAGCAAAACAATCCTCGTGCTAGCAGAGCCGAAGGCACGTGACCTTCTCTCTACGGGGAAAGAGCTTCTTGGAATCACCAAGAAATCAACTATCAACATGATAGAGATCGACTTGGGGTCCAACATCTATTCTGTTGGGTCGGATTTTTTTCCCCTTGTCACATTATCTGCTGAGAATTCAAGCGGGCAGGCAGCCGTGGAAAGAGAAGTGTCCCAGGTTTACAAAATAAAATTCGTCCCGGGAGTCAACCGCATTTTCGACTTGGCCGCGTTATCCGTCAAGGCAGTATTGGGTGTCACCTTAAGTTCCCAACGGGCAGAAAAAGAGACCATCACTTGTTCGGCTAATAGCGGGGGCAAGGTTCAATTGCAAGTGAGCAACCGCATGCTTTATTTCCCTCAGGCCAGAACCAGAAAAGTCAAGTATGTGTCGAAGGACAAGGAGTTTATCGAGAAGGAGTGGGAAGCTGTGAAGTCTTCAGTGGCAGACGAGGAGCACCTTGGTGCACTATTCTATGAGCACTTCAAGCTAGGTAAAAATCGCTGCGTGACCAATACCTCCTATTTCGAAGACGTGGCCTCTCGGAATTGGTTGGAGTGGAGTGAGCCATACCGACTCGATGTCTAAGCTGCTCATTTACCCAAATATCATGAGCGTCTCAAAGGGCGGTACAAAAAGAAAACAATTGGAAGATCGCCTAGCTTACGCCAGCATTTTGATCCACTGGCGTCCGCTTTAGCTCTCCCAAATCGACTTATCATGATGATCTTTTAACTCGATCTGAAATGTGCTGATCGTAATGAATATAAATCAACGCTGATTTATAGAAGATTTTCGCAGAATTATCACAGTATAGTATACAATTACTATACCAAAAGTTCGAAGAGATAGAGACAGCAAATATATCTATGCAGCAGTAGTTGTTTAAATCATGACTGACATCTCCCGCTCAAGGGAAGAAGCCTGTTTTTTGTAGTCCATTGCGAGAATTTGAATGCGAGTGTCGAACTTCCACACAAATAGTCACTATCCTCGTTGAAATGCTTTGAATATCTTTTGAATTTTTTTTTTTTGACATATCTTATACATCTTCTCGCAACCTAATAATGAAAGGATTGAAGCTGCAAGTAAAGAGCGTATGCTAATTCAATTTACAAGGATAGACAAGAAGTTATATAGCCACTTGGACAAGAATTTTGACCAATAGCTTGAGACGTGGGTTCTTGAACTAATGCGTGATATTAATACCCTTTAATTAATATATTATACTCAACAAATGCGTTGTCTTTGAATAGTGCGGAACTGACAAAGCAATTATTGGACAATTCTTGTATGCATTTCCCGAGTGGAAACAAGTCCGAACACGGAATTCACTGGATGGTTTATCCTAATTCAGTCGACTCCTTAATCTATTGAGTTGTAAATTCTTCGATCGGGGCACTGAGACACGAAAATAGAGCAAATACATTCCGTTGGCTCTGAAAACACGTACTGAGTCATTTTTTTCAAGTCTCTTAGTTTCAAGAACTCCATCTCGATCACTCGCTGATTCAGTGCTGTATCACGCACGATGAGGATCTGACCTATTGAATCAAATGTCTAATCGAGTTTTTTAGTCATATAAAAGAAAAAGACATTTTGATTATACACCGAAAGATATGTCAGAGAACGGAGAGTTGACTTCGTTAAAAAGCATAGGCACGGCATTATTACGCGTTGCGAATTCCGCACCTACATACCTTCATTTTCCCCAGGCAATCTAACTCATGCCCACGTCTGAATCTATACGAACCCACAACGAATTTTGCTAAAATGACAGACCCAGCGTACAGAATCAAAAATCACATGAACAAAGATCACCACTTGGCCCTCGTGGATTACGTGGTCGTGTATGGCAAAGAACGCCTTAGCAACATTGATGTTCATAGTGTTCACATCGCCCATGTCACTGTGGACGAGTTGGCTTTAAAATACAAAGCTAAAAATGGCATGGAACAAGATTTGAAACTCGAGTGGAACTCAGTTGATGACGGAGAAGGTTTGCGTGTGGAGTCAATGCTGGACATCAAGGCCAAGCTCATTGCCATGGCGAAACACGCTGCCCAAAAGCAAGGCTTTTCGCATAAACAAATCACCAAAATATTGCCCCCAAAAACCGTGACTCCGTTTGTGGCGTACGCGTTTGCTGCGCTTTCAGTGGCTACTTACATCAAAAGAGATTTCTTGCGCTCGGTGCTTGGACTCGTTTTTTCACAGAATTCCCCAGGCGTTGAATCTTTCTTGGTGTTTGCTGAAAAAAGAGTTCTCCCAATTGCCGGAGCAATGTACGCTATACATTTACTTGAAATGTTGTTTCTTGTTCGGCCAAAGACCGTGAAGTATAGAATGCCTTGGCCTACGAAGCTTGCGTGGATGACATTCAGCTTTTTCGAGGGGTACTTGTGTGTTCCAAGATTGAACAGCTTAACTGAATAAGTGAAAAACTTTGCGGCTGGTGCATACAATGCTTAGGCGCCTGAAGTAGATAATGGTTTTGCTAATTGACAATAAGAAGATCGCGCGTTGTGCGCTATTTAGAACAGTCTACCGCTTCCCATCAAATAGGGTCTAAGAGCTGTGAAGGACATTTTTTTGAGATTTGAGGAGACCAGCTTCAAAATTCAATGTTACAGAAATCTCAGGTTGGTTCAGACACTCTAAACCTTGGCTAGTGCGTCGAAAACTGTAGCGTTTGTGAAAGAATTGGAAATTGAAACCCATAACTTGGGATGAGTTTCTAGAGCAAGATGAAACTGGAATGCTGAGGTATCTGCTGGCCGGTCTAGCGTACGTACATCATCTGAATGGACGTCATCAAGCGAGCGGCTTTCATGAAATCTTATGATAAAATCAGCTTTTTTTTGTGGCAATCTCAGATATGGAAACAGCTACGGCATTATTACAAAAGAGCCTGCGGCCTACTACTAAACACGTGTCTAGTACAAGAAAACGCTCCTGCTCCTGTCAATCACTGTCGGGGCAGTCATGTATTTGATTTTGGAAATATAGAGCCCAAATATTTTCTGGTAGGATCTTCTGATTTGAAAGTATTTTTTTTTGATAGATTCATCTGATTAAAGGGGCAAAACTATATAGCTAATATATAAAAAAAACCTTTAAACAGCTCCCAGCTACGTACCAAGTGTCTTAGCTCGGCCCGTCCCCTTCCATTAGTCACAGCCTGGGAAAGATATTATGCCACTTCAATTGGTGGGGCCCACTTCTATTGGACTGAAGTTAATAATCACGTCCGATTCATTTACATGGTCCTCGATTGCTTTGATGCCATCTGTGAAATGTATAAACTAGCCATTATATATGACTAAGGAGTATTTCGAGCATGAAACTGGCAACTTGTCCGAGCGGTTAAGGAGAAAGATTAGAAATCTTTTGGGCTTTGCCCGCGCAGGTTCGAATCCTGCAGTTGTCGATATTCTTTTTTACCTCCAGACAGTTTGTTGAACGTTTCTTTCTGTTGCATGTGTTGATTGACAATGTAAATTACGTATAGAAATGATAAGCCGCCCATAGGTCATATTCATCTTCTCAAAATGTATTCTCCTGTGAGGTGTGAACCTGCTTCTGGAGAACCTGAAGGCATTCCCTCCACCCCAAATCACCAAGCCAATTGCTTTCCCCCCCTCGCTGGATACGGTTAAATATAAGATCACCTGTAGAAATCCGGCCTGGAGGTGTTTACACCATACTCGCTGAGGGCGTTACTCAAATCTTCCATAGTAAGCACAATTTTGCCTTGCTGATTTCCAGCGTTGCTGGCGTACAGCTGTGTTTGAGGTTCACCTGTGCCCTCAGAATTCCCGTTGGCACCTGTGCTTTGCTGGTTGGCAAACTGCTGCCCCTGCAATAGCTGCTTCGCCCTTAGCTGTGGATTGGCCGAATTGTATACGGCCGAGGAGCTCCGGATGCGTGAGAATTCGTATGCATCCTGCGCAATGTCGGAGATGAATTTCTGGGTGGCAAGTGCTAAGATCCGCTTGACCCGCACATCTGCAGATTCAAATCCGTTTTTGCTGAGGTAGTAATCCGTCACTGCATCAGGAATAATCGGCGCAAAGTCACCTGCAACAAGCTCGAGCATTTCTTGAAGGGTTTTGTCTTTTTTCGCTAGTTCTGGGAGGTCGCCTGTGGGAATGCCGGCGGCAGCGGCTACTCCCAGTTTCGCCTGTGCCGGATCTTGGCCGTTGGCAGTATTTTCTGCGGACCCGGAAATCCCAGGCACCACGTCCATGTGAGTATCTTCATCATCAAATTCCTCGTCAAGCTCATCGTCCCGATCCGCCATGTGAGTGTCTTTCTCCTTGTCCATAAGTTCTGGCTGTGACATTGCTAAGTGATAATAGAGACTGTGTGCTCGTGGGGGAAGCTGTGGCTATTTCAGAAAAACAGAATTCCGGTTTGAGAGAGTTCAGTTCCTTGATTTATCAGAATTATAACTACCTCAGACGAGTGGAGAGCTCACGTCTATGGCAAAGAAGACTATGTATGGGCATAAAGTCAACTTTCATGTCGCGTGAAGCCTGAGCAGCGAAAGCGTTATATGCACACCCACGATTTGTGTGAGAACTAGACGCTTAGCCCTAATTAATCATGTGACAAATGAGACATTAAAGTTCGCACCACTTACCCGGAACCAAATAGCACGACGAGTATATGAAGGGAAGAGAATTCCCTCTAGAGATCTTTTTAGAAGGTCAGTTGACACAAAAGTGGTTTTAGTTTTTCCTAAATAAAGGTTTATTTCCACACGCTAGTACATCATGTCGAATCCGATATCTCAACTGTACCAGTTGGGAACCACTTGTGGACAGGACATTGAGTTGGAATATCCTGTACTCAAGCAGAAATACAAACAGGTTATGGGTCCTGAGCCGACCGCTGAGCACAAACGGATGCTTA